CTGTACCAAATTTGCAATTATTTTTCATGTCAAGCTGTCTGCCTAGGTTAGCCTCATGGTTATTGCAGATAGCCTGTACCTTATAATTCGTTATATACACATTGTATTAGTTCTATTTTACTTTTTGGTACAATAAAATATGTATGTATATGTATGTATGTAAACATTTCCTTAGAGCGTAGTTCAGGAGGCTTCCGGTTCTTTGTAGAACGCTCTACTGGGTATCCATGGTAATATTGGATGGTTCGGGTTTATCTTGTAAAATATCTCATAGATAACATCGGGGTAATAGCTTACCTCGCCATACTTAGCAAACGCGGCTTCAGCGCTAGCCATCGTATGTATATCCACTTCAGGTATTCGTTGCTGTGTAACCTCCGCTAAGACGACTCCTACATCCTTGTGGTAATTTAACTTCAGTTGCTTCAGCACTTTACGCATAGCACTAATAGTAGGCTCCCGTAGGCGGTGTAGTATCCTGGATTTAATCTTGTCATCTAAATAAACAGGATAACGCCCCTGTATGTGGTTCATCCACTCTCGAAAGTACTTTATTTTTTTTGTATGGAGTCCTTCGCCTACCGCCGTTGGCGTAATATTGGTCTAGAGTCGCACAAGGCACTGCATTAAATATTATTTGTCCACAGATGTTGCAAAAAGCAGAAATATCTTCTTGTATTTAACATCTTTTGGTTGCAACAACTTAGTGGTGGGTTCCTAAGTACTTGAATAGGTTCTTCGTCAAGTTCCTCTAAGTCATCCATCTATATATTATCACATCTATGACTTGATTCGTGCTTTCCACATTCTTCATCAATCTCAAAAGTCATGTCACATATCCTACACACATTCAAAGGCACCTTTCTAGTATTTCTACATTGGTACTTAACGTGTACAGTCATTTGCGTGCTCGTCCTACATTTATGCCCACATTCGAAGCATTCGTATATCTTCTGACAGGGTCTTGTTTGCTTCTCCACATGCATCCTTAGGTCGTTAGCTCTCTTAAACTTCCTCTCACATCTTTCGCATTGAAAAACTTGCGCACATGCATGCTTAGATGCCGCTAAAGTACTAACAAATCTAGCTTTACACTTTACGCAACCAATAGGCTTACGCTTGCATGCATCTTTCTTCTCATGATTGACCTTAGAACTATAAGTAGTAAAGGCATATCCACAAAACTTACATTCATATTTAGGCATCTCATATTCTAACTCCACGCGTTCGGTAGCGTTGCGTTGCAATTCCATATATAATAGAGTTATATCTTATACACAAATGGATGCGTTGGCTCAACCATGCGTAACCTAAGTACCAACTATAGCTTATTGTAGTATGGGATTGGTTGAACCCAACGATGTGGCGTTTATCAAACAAAGTCGAACAGCGTGAGACTATGTTTGATAAAGGATGCTGCGTTGGTTCAACCAATCCCATACTACTCTGAAAACCTTTTTTGCCATTTTTTTTGAAGTAGAATCACAACCTTTTGCCTTTTGTCGAACTCTCTTTGGCACTAGTCTGTATCAGTTTCATGATTTTTACCTAATTTTTACATAATTTCTTTCTCATAAAAAATATCCATTGTGGTCTATTGTCAAACTCTATATCTATCACACTAATCTTTATTTTCAAAGCGAGGTCGGAAATTAATTTTTCCTAATTTAATTCCAAGGGCTTTCGCCCGGAATAACCTCGTTCCCAAGCACTATAACTTATCTATATTTCTATATCTTCATGTATTTCATAAGTGCTACGCGGTCCACATATTCTAATCTTTATTTTCAACAATGTGCATGCTTTCTTTCTTATTTTCATGGATATCTTCTGAAGGAGAGGCATTTTATACTCACTTTRAAATGACAGCCACCTTGTTCAAATGCGCAGGCGACCGGTGCATTGACACATTGTTTTGTCACGTGTTCCTCAAGWTCTCCTCGTGCTATCATTGCTCCACATCCATTGGTACACTGGACCTCAACCTTTGGGCATTTTTCATTGTGCAGCTGTTTAGAAAGAATAACATTTTATTTCCTATTTTATCGTTAAAAATAACAACATTATAATGGTTCATAACGAGCCACAGCGAACAAACTTAGCGAACAGCAGGAGTACCAGTTGCTAAAGTGTGACGTCATAAAGGAGAACGTAGATCTCCTTTGGAATAATAAAAAAATATAAACAAATACTTGAAAGTTAATCTTACCTTTTCATTGCTATGAATCACGTTTGCACCACAGTTCTCGCACACGACCAGTCTAAAGTCGCACGTGTTTTTCACGTGATCATCCAGATGTCTTCTTTCTATATTTTCATTACATCTACATCTACATCTACATTTTATTACAGCCAGGATTGGGACATTGCTTGAGTGAATATTCGCACCTTTTCTCATGCTTCTGTATTATAAAAACAATACTTAAATCAGAACTAATAGCATTAACGAGAAGGGTCTCGGGAAGAATTATTTTCGTAAATTCTAGTTCTAAAAATTATTCCCTCATTCCCTTAATGACTTCCGGTATCCTAAGATAATACAGCGTCATTCTAAGAGCCCCAGACAATGTATCATTGGTGAGGTCACTTGGAAGTCGCACTGTCACACTCGCTGCCACAAGCTTATAACACGTCACGTCAATAAGGTCTCCCCGGTTATGATAGTACTACAATTACAAACCTCTAAATCGTGTAGTTGACCAAGCCATTTGCAGCCTTTTTCGTAGTTGTAGCAGTAACAATCTAGGTTCAATCTCGTTGAACTACAGCCAGAGCTTCTTAAAAATATATCTTGCAGATTTTGAAACCATCTTGTAACTGTTCGATCAATTTTAAATTGGATGAGATTTGAAATTTTTCGAGTGACTGTAAATTCAAGTGCAAATTATTAAAATTCATCAAACTATCGTGTTTTGCATACCGGTCACCTTGAATATAACACTAACAAACTTTGCATATACTTACTTTACCAGTTGTCCATAGCACTCCTGGCAGAACCTGTGTCCACAGGTTGATTGCTTGGGTTTTCTTAAAAGATTCTTGCACCGCTCACATTTTAAACTAGAACTGATGGACTTGGGAAAATAGAGCTTACGAGAATCAAGCGAAGTCACAAGCGCATCAGCCACCATTGTCATTAGATGTTGGTAAAAAGTATGAAAAATAAGAAGAAATAAAATATTTGGTCGAAGAAATTTAGTTTGACTTATTTCGCTAAATTCGAACTGTACAAATGTGAATGCTAACCGTCGGTGATACGTTTATATCATGAGCGACAGCAGCGTGACATCATCTGATCTATTTTTGTCTGGCCGGTATTTCCCGTAAACAAAAGACAAAAAAAAAACCCTAGTAGCTGTGAGGCGCTTCCGGTTACGTCATTCCAAAACCAGGGTCGTTACTAAAACAGGAAATGGGAAATGGGAAATGGGGAATGACCGGGACGATCCCCCCCGAAGCAAGGCTAAAAATTTATGCTCTCCCCCCTATTAATACCACTTCTTATTTTCAATGAATAACCAAACGATAAAGCTATTTACCTATGCAAGAAAGTACCGATACTTACTGATACCGAGTACTGGGCCTAGATTGTCTCCCAAATCGAGAGCGGGTTACTCGTGATCCAGTGTATATAATAGCAGTGGAATCTCTTCAGACTCATCTTGGCTTTCCATATCAGCATCTCCCTCTTCTTCTGATTCACTTTCGATAGCAGCAACTATTTCGTTTTCGTCTTCACTATCATCATCTTCACTATCATCATCTTCACCATCTTCATCTTCACTATCTTCATATTCCACTTCATTCTGTGAAATAGAGTTATACTGCAAAGTCTTGTCAATAGGGTCATTACTTGATAGGTTGATGTGCGCCATTATCCGCAAAACTTTGTCATTCTTGACTCCTTTTATTGATAGTTGGTGGTACTTTAAGTATTTTTGTAACTCTTTAACAGTGAACTTCGTTAAGTTTTCACGGGATAATGCTAACTCTTTCCAGTTATAATCTTTGTAATAGAGAGTGTTAGATCGACTTTTTTTTCTCCCCGCAAACGGCAAACGTGACCACGTTTTCATAGTTTTCGTGTATTTTAGTTTACCTTTTACAAACCTTCTCACCAAGCGCAAAAACTCTTTTGTTTTTCTACTACTTGGACTTTTTTTGCGATTCTTTTTCAGTAACTTAAAAGAATTTTTTTACTGATCAACTGACGTTTCACGTTTGCCGTGAACGTAAATCTAACTGGCTCTCTATTGTTTGCTATTGACCTCAGCTTTATCTCTTTTTCGCTGGCGGATTTCTTTGGACCTTTGAAAGACACAAAAGATGATTCAAGTAGGATCTAACATGATCTTCTTCAACGATGTATGTATTGAAGAATTTTTTAATGCTGTCCGGGTCTTCTAAATGAATGTCGTCAAGAGAAATTTTTTTCTTAAGTTGCGCTCTTGGAAGAAAATCATCTACCTCACGAAAAATGTTCTTGTTTTCATCTTGGAACACTGACGTCTCGAACACATCTTTGTAATTGACTTGAACCTAGGGAGTTTGGTGTAATCTGGTTGAGGAGCAGGAATCCCCTTGAATTTTTTGCTCATCCAAGGATTTCTCACAAAATTGGCATTGTCCTCCGGTTTTATTGAGTCAGACAAAGTACACAGTTTTGTTATATATTCATTAGAAATGTTAAATTTTGAAAGTTTTATAAACCAGCTCAGAAGTTCATAAACTTCTGCCAGCTGTAACATTGCTGTTACACTTTATGAAATATCGAATTCAAAAACCAAGGGTTTTTTTGCTTCCTCTGGTTCTTGCCATGGGCTTTTAAATACTATAATTGCTAATGCGGCTAAATTGTACACATTGTTATACATTTTTATTATTATGGCTGTATTTTGTGTTATTAAACTTTAATATAAAACCAGCTGTAATGATGCTGTTCATGTTATGAAATAGTTTGACTTTCTTTTCTCATGTAGCTTCTTCCAAAAATTGTGCATCCCCCCCCCTCCCATTTTTCTGATAAAAAATTGCCCACCCCCCTTTTTCCTACCAAACTTTTCCCTATCCCCCTTAATTTCACCTGCCTCCCCCCCTGCCATACATTATGAACGCAGCCTTAATAAACATATGGGCCAAGGATGGGTGCCTATATATGAGTAGTTCTCCATACTACAACAGATAAGACAAGAAACAAGTAGCAAGAGAAGAAATCAGGAAAACACGGACGAAAATTTCGAGATCGTCGCTTTCCATGACAAGTTAGTACCATCCCCTGACAGCACGACGGTTGAGCAAATGACGTACTTTATAGGCTACAAAATTTATAAGCTACAATAATTGATAATTTTTATTCCCCCACTTTTAACTGTGAAGAAAAAAATCTTTGCTTGGCGACTATTGGTGCATTTCAAGTCATTTTCAATGGTCATTCATTTATTTCTTTTCATCTAATACAATTATAATAATAACAAATTAAAGAGTAATTGATTAAAACCACACATGCAATTTATGTTGTTTAGCTAGTACTAGTTATGAACAAATATACGCATAATAATTCAAAATAGGAACTACATAGGTCTTAAATGTGGAAGGCGCCACAATATAGGAGCTTGCTGACCTCCCATGGACAGGACTGTTATTTGTTATTTTGTTATGACGTTGATCGTATTTTAATGTTGCTGCTCTTTCCGATTGAACATGCAGTTGTGGTTATTACTGAAATTAAATTATGTTTTTCAGTGATTACGCATTTTCCCCTACATTACATAAACAATATGCCTGAAGCGAGATGACGTTTTACCCCAGACTCTATACCATAATAGTTTTTAAAATTCTTTCATATTAAAATTTTTGATTCCTTAGAGAATACAGGAACAATAGTCATAATTAAAGAACAAAAGCAGTGTGAAAAGAATTATGGTCTAGAGACGGGGGTAAAACGTCATCTCGCTTCAGGCTTATTAGGAATAACATTGTAATTAATATTAGTCAACTCGCTTTTGTTTGTTTTTACCTTATATATAATCGTTTAACATTGTTGTCACCTTATACAATATATGGTATATATATATTTGGTATTCCATTTATAAGCGCCATTTCATTTATTGTTAGTATTATATTCAAGGCCACCGGTATGCAAAATGAGATAAACTAACCCCAGAGTTAGGATTCGAGTTAGGATTCGAGTTGGGATTCGAGTTGGGATTCGAGTTAGGATTCGAGTTGGGATTCGAGTTAGGATTCGAGTTGGGATTCGAGTTGGGATTCGAGTTAGGATTCGAGTTGGGATTCGAGTTAGGATTCGAATATTGGAACAAATATCATTGGATAAATTCTTGGTTATTGCCAATAATTTGTTTAGAATCACCATGCAGTTCTTTTGACTAAAACATTCACAGCATACAGCAGTTTGTTGTATACGTAATACATATTGAAATCATTCCATGCACTTGTGGGCTACTCGAATTATACAAACCCCAACAAATTATAATTTTAGGTCAAATTCCTATTATATCATCCATCTTAGATTTACTTGTACGTAGTAATGCTGTGAATTATTTACTTCAATTTGTTTTTAAACAAAGCTGAAAAAATATTTTCCCCAGCTTTAAAGGGTCAATAATTTGTGTTAGATTCCAAAACGCGAAACATTTACTATTGTAGTCAGATATCGATGACGGTAGTCATTGCAACAGTGATATTTTAACATGTGACGGATATGATATCTTCACTGTGCAGAATGTACGTTTTAAACATTAAAGAAGTAGTCCTTTTTAACTCGTAGAAACGAGTTATTGTGAGGGGTCTGAATGTCACTCACACACTCAATATGGCGTTGCAGATCGATATTTAATGGTATGTACATCTTGAGTTGAGCATCTGCCGAACCCTATACGAATTGTCATGAAAGCGAAAGCTAGCTCATCTACGGCATAAGGTCAATTAAATCCGCTATATTTTATAGTCATTTATTTAATAAAATCTCTGGGCTCAGTGCATAAGTATCCACGAGATGGCCATATGGTGCGTTTGATCGTTCGTCGCTTCGCTCACTCGTGAAAATCCTTTCAACACTCGAATATAAAATTTGTATCTTCGCGCGCCGCCCATGTAACTCCTCTATATATCCTCTATATATCCTCTATATATCCTATAAATTCATGGGCGATTAGTGAATAAATAAGTAAGAAATATGAATGAATGGTTGCATGAATGAATGAATAAACGAACATAATCAATTCAATCATATTGCATAAACAAGATCATAAATATATTTACATTATTTATACATCATTATCGTTTACAGAAAACACGGAGTATAACGCAATTATAACATCGCCCATTCAACGAGAGAGTTCAGTTGTTGAACTCTACACTAAAGAACTGCATGCTTGAGGCTAAACGAATATCCAAATTGATAATCCAGACGTGTGTAATAAAATTTGCAATATTTAATGGTGTCAGTTATTTTATTATACCTCGTACTCTAGTTGAGGCTAGTTGATGAGCCGGTGAGCGACAACGTTGAACCAAAAGAAACACAACAAGATACAATATAGCTGTAGGTGCTATTAAAGCACAGTGTCCATAACGCACGAACAAAACAAAATCAAATTGGGGGGAAAATAGTAAGAGGGTTGTCTGGTATACTACCTTTTCATCATTACTGGTATACTATACTTTGTTTCCGGTGCCAACGAAACATGTGATCAAATGGCGGCATCGGAACAGCACGTGTTTGGTGCTTAACGTGACTAAGGTCAGCTTTACCCTATTAAGCGACCACCATTTATGAAGCGGCTACTATCAAAAGTCCAAAAGTATTTGCCACTAAATTACTGTAGTGATACGGTACCTCTGTTAAGCGGCCGCGGCCACCTTGAGGCTGTCCCAGCGTTTGAGCAGCGTTTGTTTTATATCATGACTATCAAATGATTATCGGTTATCATTTTTAAATGCAAAAAAGAAGCGTTAATAGTAAGTACAGAGATTTCAGGAAACGTTTTATAATTGTTATTAACTTATGCTCAGCCCCATTTATCGGCCTCTTATTTAATTTACTTTTCCGAATCCTAACTCGAATCCTAACTCGAATCCCAACTCGAATCCCAACTCGAATCCCAACTCGAATCCTAACTCGAATCCTAACTCGGAAGATAGATACCCTCATGCAAAATACGATAGTTTGATGAATTTTAATTTACACTTGAATTTACAGTCACTTGAAAAATTTCAAATCTCATCCAATTTACAGTCAAACAAGCTCACGCGTTGACCTTTAGATTCGATTAATGAAATCATTAGTCAATTATTCCTTTTATACGTACGAACCGGAATAATGCAATATTGCAATATTCAAATGAAAATTCAGTTCATTATTCGACTCGTGATGAAGAAGGTAAACCATCTAAATTACAGATACCTTCGAGCAAAAGACGCTCTCTTATTTCATAAGCATACACACTAGGTTTTGTCGTCGATAATGTTGAAGTATTTTCTGGACTCCCCAACTAGAAATTTTCAGTTGTCGCGCAATTGCTTTATTGGACAAACCGCTATTGCTGAGATGAACAATTTCCTGTCGAATAATATCAGGTAAAGGCTTTCCCGGCACATCTACACGGCCAAGACTATTTCTGGCCGCCATGTTTTCTTGGTCTTCCGGCTGTGTTAGCACTGATTAACCAATCAAAATGTCGTATATTGAATTTAAAGTTGATTGGAATTTTCATATCTTCGTTTTTGACGTTGTAAATTTCAACTGAATAATGAAATCAAAATTCGAAAATTCAAATCATTAATCGACTCTAGGGGTCAACGCGTGAGCTTGTTTGACTGTAACTCATTGACTTCACAAACTTTAATAAGCCCTTTTCAATGAACATCCTTATTTTTATGAAAAATCGAAACACACTGTTTCCTTGTCTTTTGTTAGGTACACGAATGTGGCTGCCATCTCTATTGTCAGTTAATACTAGTGACT